TAACTGAAAAATTACCAACTCATGAATTCATCCTGCTTAGAATATTAGAGTAATCAAAAAAAAAAAAAAAAAAAAAAGGAAGAAGGGGAAGAGCCTTTAGTTACACTTCTTTCATTTTCACCTCTACCTTTTTTCTGTTCTAGATAATGAGGCAGATGCATGATGGCATATAATAAACATACTGATTCCGACACACATTATACCGACAACCACTTAACCGACACCGAACTTAGCCGACAGAACATTTAGCCCAGACTACGACACTTAGCCGACAAGGACATTTAGCCGACAACTTAGACGCTTAGCCGACAGGACAGTTTAGCCGACGACAGTTACACCGACAGACATTTAGCCGACACGAACAGTTAGCCGACAGGACTCTTAGCTGATACACAGAATTCGCCGTCAGGGCATTTAGCTACGGGACACTTAACTGTCAAGACATTTAGTCCAGAGGACACTAAGCCGAAGTAACATTTCACTGACGCGTACCTAATAATTATTTAAATTTACAGTCAATTACAAAATTTCTCGACTTCTCCATTGGGTTCAATATTTAAGTTATTTTTTGCACTTATCAGTAAAATTCAGTTTTCGATTCTTGAAGATCTCATATGTGCTTTTATTATTGTGTTAAAATTTAGCATTTTTTGATATGTATCATGCGGTTTGGTGTACATTGGCTAAATTGAAAAAGCGCTAAAATTTCTCGTCAGGGAATATATGAATTAAATTTCGAAAGGAAAAAGAATTTTTTTAGCAAAGTGCAGCGGTCACTTTCAATTCCCATATTAAAATGTAATTCACAATTATATTTTAATATGGGATCTTCAAGAATTATCCGTAATGCTTCTTCATTTAATCAACTTTCACATCATTAATAATTTTTCTTGTTTACTTAATGGTATTAATTTTCCAATCTCGCTCTTCCAAATGCTTTCAAATTTCTAATATATTTACGTTTCATTACTATTTTGCTCATCACATCCTGTTACATTCCTTCCCTTAAAAAGTCGTTTGGCTCCTCCCACTAATGAAATTTCCTTTCCCTGTCATGAAAAATCTGAATAATTCAATAAAAATATTGTTATTCTTGAATTATACTTTTTCATAGAAACATATGGCGGTGAGGGTTAGTTTAGCAAATATATTTTATTTTGTTATTAAAAACAATTAAAAAAAGTGAATTTTTAAGACCAACAAAGGTATAAATTATTTGTGACCTCTGTAATTTGCAGCTCATGGCACCATCCTTGAGATAAAAATTCTGTAACATTTTATTGACCACGATTCTCGCTGAAAATACTTACTTAGTTTAATGTTCATATGCCTAAACTAGTGCATAATTGTTTAATTTAGAAGTAAAATATTCTTTAAGGTTTTGTTTTATTCATAACTGAAGTTGCAGAAGGATATGGTAATGCTACATGGTTAGCTACATGGTAATGGGAAAATTTCCTGAATGTATGAATAAAGTTCTAGCCTAAAAAGGCAATTTTCATCGGAAGAGACTGGTTATATATTAAGTAAAATGGTCACTCTATTTCTGTTAGACTCAGCAACTGCCAAGCGGTAAAGTCACTGAACACTGACAGTTCGATCCGAATTTGAATCCCGTGAACAGACAGGCTGTTTTCGTGGTTTTTCTCATGTGTAACATGTATACAAGGCAGTTTTCCTTAGAAAGTCTCCACGCAATCCTCCTTAGGCAACCTCTGATTACATAAACCAAACTTACTTCTGTTAGGTGGCCGCTAAACCAAAAATGAGAAAGAGAAGGAATGAAAGAGAAATAAATAAATAAATAAAATGAATGAAAAATGAAATGAAAATTTATACATTTTTAACAGATATTGAGAAAGTTATATTTTATAAGAAAACATTAATATAACATATTATATTGCAAATTACACATCGCAACATAACATAGTAACAAACAAAACATAGTAAATAATATTCACAACATAGTAAATAATATTATCTATTTGCATGACAGATATAGTTAAATCTAGCATCGTTAGATGGCACTACATTATGGTGACTTTTCACGTTGTGTCGCTTTGCTCCGCCTTTCTTTGTGGCCCCTCCTTCTGCAGCTTCATTAAAACAAATTAAGGAAGAAACATTGTGCACTAGTTTAGAGCAATAAACATTAACCTAAGTAAGTATTTTAAGCGAGAGGTGTGGTCAAAAAATGTAACAATATTTTTATCTCAAGAATGTTGACATGAACTATAAATTATAATCACAAACAATTTATACCTTTGCTTGTCCTACAAATTCACTTTTTTAAAATTGTTTCTAATAACAAAATAAAATATATTTGCTAAACTAACCCTCACCACCATATGTTTCTATATAAAATATAATTCAAAAATAAGAATAATTTTTATTGCATTATTCAGATTTTTCAGAACAGTCTACTCCTACTATACTGAGGACAGCAGCCAGTTAAGTCTAGCCTATGATGTCTCTCGACTAACTGCGCTTCGTAACACGAAATGAATGATCCCACCTCACTGCGGATTCTTGCACGATATTCCTACAACCAAGTTATGCCTAAGCAGTATCTGCAAAATAACTATAATTACACCCTACGAATATAATTGCTCATCACTCTTATTTCACTAAAATGGTATCTGAATGCTTTGCAATCAAATCTCCTGAACTTAATGCTAGCACAGAAAACGTTATGCTCAGTAATTTCAGTTGCTATATACAGGGTAAGGCAATTTGAAAGCATTTCAAAGAGCGAGATCGGAAAATTATTATCAATCAACAAGTAAACAAGGGAAATTATTAATCATGTGAAAGTGTTCAAAATAACCCAGTTGATTAAATGAAGAAGGATTATGGATAATTTTTGAAGATCCCATATTAAAATGTAATTAAGTGACCGTCGTACTTAGCTAAAAAAATTTTTTTCTCCTTTCGAAATTTAATTCATATTCCCTGACCAGAAATTTCTGCGCTTTTTCAATTTGGCCAGTGTACACCAAACAGCAGGATACATATCAAACAATGCTAAATTAACTTAATAATTAAAAGCACATAAGAGATCTTTAAGAATCGAAAACTGAATTTTATTGATAGTAAAAAAATAACTTAAATATTGAACTCAATGGAGAAGTCGAGAAATTTTGTAGTCCATAGTAAGTTTGTATAATTATTGGGTAAGTGTCAGCTAAACTTCACTGTCGGCTTTGTGTTGATTAAATGTCTTGACAGTTGAGTGTCCCGTAGCTAAATATCCTGACCGCTAAGTGTCCATGTCGGCTAAATGTCCTATTGGCTAAGCATCCTTGTTGGATAATTGTTTTGTTGGCTAACTGCCCATGTCGGCCAAATGACCTGTCGGTTAAGTGTCCATGTCAGCTAAGTGTCCTTGTCGGTTAAGTGTCCGTGTCGGTTAAACGTCCTGTCGGCTAAATGTCCTGTCGACTAAGTGTCTATGTCGGCTAAGTGTCCTTGTCGGCTAAATGTCTTGTCAGCTAACTGGTCTCGGTTAAGTGTCCCGTCGGCTAAGTGTCCACGACCGCTTCATGAGATCCTTCTGTATCAAACATTGATCCAAAAATCTGTTGATCCATTTAGACAAAGAGCTTGAATCATTCTTTGATTCCATTCAAGTTTTTTGATTGACCTGTCAGACAACATTCTATTCGGTGCTGATCCTTATTTATAATCGTAAATGTATATTTTATTTAGAATTGTGTAATTAGATGTACAGGTTTAATCCAAAATTTTTATGTGTATGGGGAAATTGAAAAACAATGAAAGAGAAATTTAGTAATTGCAGATAATAGTAATTGTAATTAACTTAATTTTTTTTTAATTCAAATTACTATTACCATCTTTAGATGGATGTGACGATGCTAATCATTCTTTCTATGTTTATTCATTGATCAACTTTTACATTATTTTGTGAGGTGATCCTTTTTTTTTCCTTACGAGATCGAATATAGTGAACCAATTTTTCGACCCTTGAAGTTCGTTGTAGTGAGGTTTGACTACATATATATTTATGTTTTATTAATTTACATTTCTTTGGTCATTAGTTTTTATCTGTTTATTTATTGTTTATTTTTGTGTTTTTTTAATTAGTAGGTAGTATTTTATTTTTTATAATTTTATTTTATTGTTATACACTATTTGTAATTCTGACTAAATAGATATTGGATTTCTGAAAATAGTATTGGTTGGACTAAGATAAACCAAACCAGACATGCAAGGCTTCAGTTGGTTTGGGTTTAATTTTTCTTGGGCTGCCTGATTTAGGAAGAACTGGAGCTATAGCTACTAGAGCACCTGCAATGTATTGAAAATGTTTTGTTGCTATGTAGGTGACATTTGGTGGTCTCTGACCAGCTTGAGGATATTTCTGAAACATTCCAGGAAACATATTTTCAAGATTAGCACCGAGCTGGTATTAGTATCAAACCCTCCTTTTTTTTTTTTTTTTTTTTTTTTTTTTTCCTATATCACTTTTCATTGCCACCAAATGTTATCCCACGTATTTATTTTTAAAGAAATAATATAATGCATATAAAAAATGTATGGCAACATATAATGCTTTATTAGGAATTCTAAAGATGCCCAGCATAATATTTTTAACTTCCACATGTCAGTTTCTTACCATTTGGCGAAGCATAAGGTATTTAATTTTTCTTTTAAATCAAATCTGCTTGTTTACTGATTAGCAAACTAAGCGATTTAAAAACAACAAACAAGCAGAGTTTTTAATTTTTTTATTAATTATCTGCACAGTCTGTGAAATGATGCTAGCTGGATTTATTAAAAAATCATATCTTTTTATAGTAACTATTTTGGGCAATTGGCCGCACCAGTGGCTAATTGTTTGAAAAGTGAAATGAAAAAATGAGGTTTGAGAATAAGTAGTCCTTCTGGGCTAAAGAATTTATTGCAATACTTAACACTGTATCAGCAACTCTTAAGATATGCTGTTTTTAATAATTTTGTTATTTTTATATTCATTTCAGTGTGGCATAAGTGCAAAATTATTGATGATTAGTAATAAAAAGAAAAGAAAAAAAAAAAAGATTGATTCTTCTTTCATTTCTTCTGTAAAGTATTTAGTTATCTACTGCAGTGTATTATTGTAATATTTGGAAAGAATAAAGACATATTACATTCATGTTGTCTATTAATGCTGAAGAAATAAGCTCTGTAATATGACAAGTTTAAGAGGCAGGAGTAGAAAAAACTTTCAGAAATTATTTGCTTGAAAGAGTTAAGATTTATGTACACTGCTCAAAAAAAAAAAAAAAAAAAAAAAAAATGGGACAGTGCTATATCTCCCGTTCTACTGGGCCGATTGACAAAATTCAAACTACGTTTTTCATGTCTCGAAAGCACGACTTAGGATATATATTAGATTTATATATAGTACTATTCTAACATAGGTATTTTGACACAAAATCGGACTTTTTCTGAAATAACATACCAATTTTTTACATATTTCAATTCTACGACTCAATTATGCCAGAATACCAAGTTTTGTAAAAATCGTACGAATAGTTTTTAAAATATTAGCTCTCAAAATTTTAGCTCCTCAATGTTAATTGAATTTGGCAAATATTTATAATGTCTTTTTTTAAACTTTTTTGATTTTTTTCTCTCACATTTCGAAATTTTGGTTCATTCCAAATAAATTTAACCCATTTTTTTGCGTTTTTATTTTTGAATTTCTATTTTTAAATAATTTTTATAGATTTTTCGAAAAAAATTTTGAATTATAACCTATAAAATTTTTACCATCATCTTAAAGTAGGTGTATTTTTAAGCATATCTGCAAAAAATTAGACTTTTTTATTCAAAATTTTTCTAAGATATACATGAATTTACATAATTTCGCGTTTTGAAATTTGGCACCTTTTTTTTGAGCGATAATAACGCCAAATGTGGTCTATGGATTTTTGTTACACTGAATTGCCACAGCTATTTTTAACCTTAAACTTCAAGTAAAATTTTACGGAGAATTAATTATATGACAATTTTTCCCTCAATGACGCGTAATAAATATTTATTAATACTATATGAAAGGCTATTTTTTAAATTATAGATGATATTATTCAAATTTTTAACTATTTCTTTTTAAATTTCTCTCGTATCTTTTCTTTTTTTAAAAAATTTACGAGTAAGTTTTTTTAAGAAAAATTTTTACCTTCGGCTTTTATCGTCTGCTACTTTAACTTCGTTTAAATTCGAATTGTCTAAAACTGAGAATTTTCGTTTGATATTATTTGAATTTTGACATTAACTGCATAATTTATTTCTAACAAACTGTTGCTTTTGAAGTGGCTGAGAGAGCGGCTGATACTATTATCCATATTTTTAAAGCACAATATATTTTTATAGAAACATTATTTAGAATAATCATTTTTTATAAAAGTCAAATTATGATATAAACTACAACCCTCTAGAGAATGAATTAATGGAAGTTCAATGGTTATGTAGAAATGATCTGCAGTTACTTAATGGCTGGATAAGTCAGCAGATTCTGTGGACAAGTAAGAATAATTATATAACGACACCCAAACATTCTGGATTCAATAAACAACGAGGATACGATGTTTACTAAATGAATTTAAGAAGTTTTAAAACATAAAAATCAACTCATTTTTTTTCCCTAAAATGTATTTTTGTGCGTAGCGTATTTTCATTATACCCCTTAAAATTCTAATTTTAGAATGTAATTGTCAGAAACTGAATCCTAATCATCAGTAATATAATAAGTAATTATTA